TCTCCTTCTCCCTCTCCCTCTCTTTCCTTCTCCCTCTCCCTCTCTCTCCCTCTCTCTCCCTCTCCCTCTCTCTCCTTCTCCCTCTCCCTCTCTCCTCCCTCTCCCCATCTCTCCTTCTCCCTCTCTCTCCTTCTCCCTCTCCCTCTCTCTCCTTCTCCCTCTCTCTCCTTCTCCCTCTCCCCCTCTCTCTCCCTCCCTCTCCCTCTCTCTCCTTCTCCCTCTCCCTCCCTCTCCCTCTCCCCCCTCTCTCCTTCTCCCTCTCCCCCTCTCTCCTTCTCCCTTTATCTCCTTCTCTCTCCCTCCTCTCTCCCTCCCTCTCCCTCTCTCTCCCTCTCTCTCCCTCTCCCTCTCCCCCTCTCTCCTTCTCCCTCTCTCTCCTTCTTCCTCTCCCTCTCTCTCCCCCTCTCTCCCTCTCTCTCCTTCTCCCTCTCCCTCTCTTTCCTTCTCCCTCTCCCTCTCTCTCCTTCTCCTTCTCTCTCTGTCTGATTAAATACTGCACTGTTTGTGTTTCACAGGCATAAACACCTTGATCAATATAATGTCTCGACTTGGACAAGATGATCCAGCTCCTTCCAGGTACCCAAATAATTTGAGTGGGGAAGGAGGGGGGGGCTTGATGGTGCTATTGTGGGACCTCTCCCCAGAAGCAGAGGTGAAGCAGGGGAGGGGCCGTGGCTCAGTGGCAGAGCATCTGCTTGGCATGCAGAAGATCACAGGTTCGGTCCCCGGCATCTCCAGTTGAAAGGTTCAGGTAAGAGGTGACGTGAAAGACCTCAGCCTGAGGTCCCGGAGAGCCACTGAGTAGACAGTACTGATTCTGATGGACCGAGGGCCCGATCTGGTATAAGGCCACCTCATGCGTAAGTGTGCATGTGGCTCTGGCGTCCACCATGGTTTGCCAATCTCAGGAAAGGCCCATTCTCTCCTCCCCTTCCTTTGTCGGACATAGCCATGGTTTAACATGACATCTTTGCTAATGTTAACCCCAGGTCCTGTCTCAACCAGCATCTTAAACCAGAGTTTGAAGTGGATTTATTTATTTATTTGATTTCTATCCAGCAACAATGAGCTGGATTAAGCACCTCCGAGGTTGTAGTGTTGAACCACAAATAAAAGCTGGCATACGTTCCCCCACGGGCACTACGGTCGGGGACGCAACATCTCCTGGCAATGCCAGGTCCCAAGGAGGCCAGGCTGGCTGCTTCCAGGGCCAGAGCCTTCTCGGTGGCTGCTCCTACCTGGTGGAACGAGCTCCCGGAGGAGACCCGGGCCCTGCGGGACCTTGTACAATTCCGCAGGGCCTGTAAGATGGAGCTCTTCCGCCAGGCGTTTGAGTAGGAGCCGCCACTACTGTACCATCTTCATCTGTCCCTGGGAGAAAGAACGACAGCACCAAGCGGAACAGATGGCACTGAGTGGTTATAACAGCATTATACGCCATCTTTATGGAAGATCAATTCGGAACATCGAGAGCACATAATAATAATAATAATAATAATAATGTCGTAATATTGTAGGAATTGTTTTAAATGGTTTTTAAATATGTTTTATGCACTGGCTTATGCCTGATTGTGAGCCGCCCTGCGCCCTCGTTGCGGGGAGAGCGGGCTATAAATTGAACTTATAAATAAATAAATAAATATAAAAAGGAGGGGGAGAATGTGTATCGTAGAGAGAATGGCTCCAGCCAGTCATAACACAGAACTGTGGTTTGATTTAGCTGTGGCTTGTTTGTGAAAGCCAGGATTTAGCTTGGGGATGATCACTCAGATCCTGGTTTGCCTCTGCAAATGCTGGTCTCATCGTGCGAACACGTAGGCCATCTTAGCTCACTAGACCAACTTCAAACCATGGTCTTAGATCTTGCTTTGACAAACCCTCGTTGACTACAGCTACTGCAGCAGCCGGCATTCAGACAGTCACACTGACCATGGTTTTGCTCAATTAAACCATGGGTTTTGCATGCTATCTGAACTGAGTCACAGCGTACCCCGGAGGATTTACAAACCATGGTTTATTGGTCACAGTGTACCCCTGGGGGAGATCCCTGGTATCCCTGAGCCCGTTCGCGGGGTAGGGCGGGGTAGAAATACTCGAATAAATAAAATAAATAAATAAAATACAAACCACGGTTACAAACGGGTCATTTCCTGCGAGAGCGCACAGGAGCGGAGCACAGTTTTGTGACTGTCCCCCTATAACCCATGGCAGCCATTTTCTGATTGCCGCTGGCCCCTCCACGGCAGCCGTTTTGTGGCCACCTATATCATCCTGCGGGCACTTGGCGAAAGCTTTCAAGAGTCCCGGGAAAACACCTTTCCTGGCCCAGCGGCTGAGATCTTGACTGGCAGTGTGAGGGACAGAGGTTGAGACCTTCTTCATGCAAAGCGTGTGCTGTGTTGCTGCAAGATCGCTGTCTGCACCTTTGAGAGGGCTGCTAGAATCCGGGAAAGGCAGCGCAGTGAATTATTTTTGAAGCAGCAGGGATGAGCTGACTCTTCAACTCCGTCTCCTTGTAGATTCCTCGTGCTGCTTCACGTAGACGTCTGAGCCTTAGGGGTTCAGTGGTTCTGTTCTGCTTTGGGGGGGTTTGTTTGGAGAAGTTGTGTGATTACAGCACAGTAGAGTTCAGTGTTTTGTTGTTCTTTTATACATAAAACTATGGAGTTTAAAAAAAAAACACCTGAAAGTGGGGGGTGGGCGGGGAAACAATGCATTCAAATCAATTATGTATTCTCTTCTCCTCTCTCCCCACCCGGTCTTAATTAATCTGACTGGGAAAGTCATACTTCTGGGGTTTGTCTGTTTCTGCACTTCTACAAAGAGAGAGATTGTTTTGCATTTATGCGGTGTAGGTAGAGCCATCTGGTGAATCTTCCTTCCTTTGCGAAAGGATGGATTTGTTATGTGCAGGAAGATACTGGGCGGGGGGGGGGCAGAGAGGAAACGCCCCCCCACACACACGCACATACAACCTTTACTGAATTAGGCTGAGCGAAAAGGGAATTAGGCTGAGCAAAAAGGACTTCCCAGCATTTTTTAAAATCCAGTGGCCCCATTAAGACCAACAGAAATTTATTCTTGGTATCCGCTTTCGAGGGCACGCACACTTCTGGGCTGTTTTTGGGCAGGAATGAATGCACAGGAACGGAGTTCCAGCTGGCTCCCAAGTTGGCCACACCCAGCAGGAACTCATTAGCATAATAGGCCACACCCAACAGCAGAAACTCATGAGGATTGGCTACATTAGGGGTGTGTGGCCTAACATGCAAAGGAGTTCCTGCTACAAAAAAAGTCCTGGGTTTTGACCACAAACAAGGTCAACAGAATAAGAAGGGAAAGGTGGGTGTGGCTGGATGACCACACTTCTGGTAACATGGGGGTGTGGCCTAATGTGCTAATGAGCTATGCTGTCTGGGTGTGGCCTAATATGCTAATGAGTTTCTGCTGTTGGGTGTGGCCTATTATGCTAATGAGTTCCTGCTGGGCTTTTTCTACAGTAAGAGCCCTGTAACATACATGCATGCATGCAGATGAAAGCTGACACCCAGAATAAAACTTTGTTGGTCTTAAAGGCGCCACTGGACTCAGACTTGGTTCGGATGCTTCAGACCAGCATGGCTGCCCACCTGAATGTATTCCCAACATTTTGTGTGTGTGTTCTCGGAGCGTGTGGGTCGTCCTAGGGACCCAAACAGATATGTCTGCCCTGTGAGAAAAAAGTGTTAGGTTCCTGGAGGTTTCAGTGGTACCATTTAATGAGGGCAGGGTGAGGGTAGAAGGCTTTCCTGTCCTTCCACGATTCCTCAGGAGCAACTATGTTTCTAACCCACCCTCGCCATTTTGGTGTAGTGGTTAGGAGCGCGGACTGTAATCTGGGGTTTGATCTCCCCACTCCTCCACATGCAGCTGCTGGTGTGACCTTGGGCCAGTCACAAGTTCTCTCAGAGCGGTTCTCTTAGGAGCAGTCTCCGAAAGAGCTCTCTCAGCCCCACCTACCTCACAGGGTGTCTGTTGCGGGGAGGGGAAGGGAAAGGAGTTTGTAAGCCGCTCTGAGACTCCGAGTGAAGGGCGGGGTATCAATCCAATCTCCTCCTCCTCTTCCTCCTCCTCTTCCTCCTCCTCTTCCTCCTCCTCTTCCTCCTCTCCTCCTTCAGATGGTGCTTGATTATATGTTGCTTGTGCTATTGGGTTGGGTCCAGCCGGTCCTATCACTCGATTAGTGCCAGTTCCCGCTCCACATGGCTTTTGTCTATGGGACTTCCCGTGATCCCCCAGCAGAGTCTTAATGGTGGACCCATTCCTCCCCTGTTCACCCCTGGAAAAGCTGGTGGGATCCGACAACCCGTTATGAAGCACGTCTGAAGACAAGAGTGCATGTACTTAAATCCCATCCATAAATGCTCATCTTCCTTAATCTTGACTGTCGCCAAGAGTGGGCCTTTGCAAAATAGCTCCCGTTCCTTCTCAGACAATGTTCCTGAGTGGTTCTCAGTGTCTACCCGTATTTATTGGGAGGTGTTTTTTTATTTGAAACCCTTCATAAACTGATTGCAGTTGAAGCGGCTTGCCAGCCAAGACATCCCCCCCCCCCTTTCAGTGCCAGTTCACCGCCAGCGAGACGTGTAAGAGCCGTGCACACCTGCAGGTCTGGAAGCCTTGACTGTCTTTTGAGACAGTGCCAGGAAAGGGATACGGGGGTGTCGGTAATTGATCCCTGGGCCCGAGCCAATCACTGGATTGCTTTCTGCCAGTTTAAATTGAAAGGACGTTGTGTTGTCCCCCTGGTGTATTTTGGTGGTGTGAAACTCCCTTCCCCGTATCCGTCGGTGGCAGCGAAATTCAGCCTTCCAGCTGTGCTAGGCTGAGCTGGCTGCTTTTGTCCAGGAGCGGGCCCACCCCCGTCCTCAGAGCCTGGACTTAACCCGGGAGTCCGAGGAATGCCCGCTTGGAGGACCCGTGGTGCGGGCAACGGGGAAGACCAGCAGGACAGCGGCCACAAGGAGGAAACGCTGCAAATGGAGAGGAAGGTAAAGGTACCTTGCTCGAAAGCCAGTCGAATCCGACTCTAGGATTGCGGTGCTCATCTCCATTTCAAAGCCGAAGAGCCAGCGCTGTCCGAAGATGTTTCCGTGGTCATGTGGCCGGCATGACTAAACACCGAGGCGCACGGAACGCTGTTACCTTCCCACTGAAGTGGTACCTATTTATCTACTTGCAATTTCTTGCTTTCGAACTGCTAGGTTGGCAGGAGCTGGAACTAGAGACGGGAGCTCACTCCGTCATGCGGCACCCGGGTCTCGAACTGCTGAACTACCGACCTTCCACAGCCTGCAGTTCAGCGTGATGCAGAGGCAGGCAACGGCAAACCTCCTCCGAACGTCCCTTGCCTTGTCTCCGTAAGTCAGCTGTGGCTTGAGAGCAAAAATAAAATAAAATGCAAAAACATTGGAGAACATGGTGTTAAAAAAAAGAAGAGGCAAGAATGTGGCTCTTTCTGTGTACTGACCCAAGAACTGACTGATTCTTCCTTTTCCTAACATATATAGAACAACCACTCATAGCAATTTTCTTCTTCTTCCAGGATTAATCACAACGAGCGTTTAGAATTTTTGGGAGATGCCGTGGTTGAATTTTTGACTAGGTACGTATTGCATTCATGCCTAACAGGCATCCTGCTGTAGAAAGTTCACACCTAAAATGCTTTCCTTCTTCTTTTCTTAAAACATCCATTTAGGGCTCTCAGATGACTGTGTCTTTTTCCTTCATCAAATGTCTTTGGCAGCAATCACCCCCCCTAAATAATCCACTTCCAATGCACTTCCAATGCACTTTCAAATTGGGTTTTTGCCAGTTCACACAGTAAAATCCAGTTGGAAAGTGCACTGAAAATGGATTATTTAGGGCAGGGGTGTCGAACTCATTTGTTATGAGGGCCGGATCTGACATAAATGAGACCTTGTTGGACCGGGGCCATGTGTGTCATAAAATGTAATGCCAGGTAGCGGAGATATAAACTTTATAAAGGACACGAACACAAAGGGTGTTTTTTTTACTTAAAATAAAAACATGCTGAAAACATTAGCTCTGTAAGCTGCAAACCGACTTTTGATTTATTGACATTGACCACAGAAATCTCATGCTCAGAGTTCTGAGTCTAGGACCCAGGTTAAAACACGAAATGGCTGAGCGATTGAGAGAGTCTGGCGAAGCAAGCTACGATGTAGCAGCAGCAGCAGCAGCAGAACTGGAAGCAGGAGATGGCCAGTTCCACTGTGGGCCTGACGGAAGCCCTCCGGGGGGGGCCTGATCCGGCCCTTGGGCCGCATGTTTGACACCCCTGATTTAGGGTGTGTGATCGCAGCCTCGGTCAGGCATATTGGTTCCTTTCCTGTGTTAAAGAAGGGGGTACTCTGGCCCTGCACTTCCCTTGTCAGCCTATGAGAAATTTCTAGCAATTCCAGCCTATAGCCGAGCATTTTTTCTAGCCAGAATGGATGGGCTGTCTTCGGCCATTCTGACAGGGTACTGTGTGATGGGGCTGTTTAGCTTGGGGAAACAACGGCTGAGGGGTGACACAATCGAGGTTTATAAGATTATGCATGGGACAGAGCAGGTCGAGAAAGAAGGACTTTTCTCCCTTTCTCACAATACAAGAACTCGTGGGCACTTAATGAAATTGCTGAGCAGTCGGGTTAGAACAGATAAAAGGAAGTCCTTCTTCACCCAAAGAGTGATAAACACATGGGATTCACTGCCACAGGAGGTGGCGGCGGCTACAAGCATGGACGGCTTCAAGAGGGAATTAGATAAGCACATGGAGCAGAAATCCATCAGTGGCTATTAGCCACAAGGTATAGATAGGAACTCTCAGTCTAATAGCATCAGTGGCTATTAGCCACAAGGTATAGATAGGTCCATGGGGTCGCGAAGAATCGGACTCGACTGTGCGACTGAACAACAACAATAGATAGGAACTCTCAGTCTGGGGCAAGGGGTGCACTGTATTCTTGGTTGTTGGGGGGGGGGCAACAGTGGGAGGGCTTCTAGTGTCCTGGCCCCACTGCTGGACCTCCTGATGGCATCTGCTACTTTTGGCCACTGTGTGACAGAGTGTTGGACTGGATGGGCCATTGGTTTGATCTAACATTAGCTTCTCTTATGTTCTTAAGATCATATTCCAGGACAGGTGTTGCAGGTGTGGATGGAGAGAGCCTGAAACAGTGTGGATCGTATGATCTTGGTTCAGTTTAAGGCAAACCTCAGGTGTTCATGCGCTTCATGTGTGAAATCGTTAGACCCAGTCCTGAGGAATTTAATTATCTGTTGATAGAACTAAGATGGTGCCACTTTGATTAGAGGATGAGGGTCTGAGGATTACTTTAACCATGGCAAAATTCTTCGTGGTGGTGATTACGTAGAAGGAAAATATGAACATTTTATGATGGGGTTAAGAAAATGTATAGGGTTAACCTCAAATTTAAAAATAAAGTAGAATCTAAAATATATAGTAATATTTAAATATAGCAGCAGAAACACTACTGCTACTACTTACTACTACAAGTAATAGTAATAATAATAACTTAATGTGACCTGATTTGAGACCTAAGGTCAAATGAGTCCACCATTGAATGTAAAAACCACACTTTAAAAAAGTGAATTGATTATAGTTCTTTTTGTGGTCTGGCTTGCAGTAATTTGCCTGGGGCTTTTGCTCTGCCAAGCATTTTGAACTCTGCATCTCAGTGAGGTAGTGATTACGACCCAGACTGTACGCCAGTGCAAGTCTAAACCTTGGCTTCCTTTGGTTGAAATTTCGGCAGAATGGTTGTGAAGATAGCTACTTGCTGCTAATAACATAAAGACATCAGAAGAGCCCAGCGGAATCAGTCCGTCTAGTCCAGCATCCTGTCTCACACGGTGGCCAACCAGTTCCTCTGGAGGGCCAACAACAGGGCACAGAGGCTGAGGCCTGCATAAAAACATAAGAAGAGCCCTGCTTGATCAGACCAATAGTCTGAGGCCTTCCCCTGATGTTGCCTCCTGGCTCTGAGATTCAGAAGTTTAGTGCCACTGAATGTGGAGGTTCCCCTCAGTCACCATCGCTAGTAGCTGCTGATAGTCCTATCCTCCATGAACCTGTCTAATTCCCTTCTAGAGCTGTTTATTCCTGTGGCCATCATTACATCCACCATTTTAATTGCTCTCTGTGTAAACAAGTATTTTCTTTTGTCCGTTTTGAATCTACTGCTCATCAGCTTCATTGGATGCCCTAGAGTTCTAGTATTTTAGGAGAGGGAGGAAAAGTTCTCTTTGTCAACTTCCTCCCTCTGAATCTAACATTACAGTTGTTGTTGGGTTGTTGTTGTTGTTTTTTTGGGTGGTGTCCTGAATGTCTGTGACATGGAGTTTAGTTGAGAGAGGTACAGAAAGATTGAGTGGCTAAGAGAATTGGATTCGCTTCTAGAAGTTCTATGGGTTGAAATAGGGAGTCCAAAGGGAAACTTAACACTGGGAGTTTGTTATCGCCCACCAGATCAAAAGATAGAGGAGGATTATAAAATGATGAATGAATTAAAGATAGCAGCTGGACAAAAACACTGTGTCGTAATAGGTGATTTTAACTACCCTCACATTGATTGGGTCAATATGTGTTCTAGTCGAGAAAAAGAGATTGCGTTTCTAGACACTCTGAATGACTGTGCTATGGAGCAGATGGTCACGGGACCTACCAGGGGAGAGGCGATCCTTGATTGCGTTATCAACAGGTTTTTATATTGCAAGGTCAGTGAAGGGCGTGTCCTCCAATAAAGCAGCATCCTCAACCCCTGTTTCTGATCAAACTTGGAAGGGAATGAGGAGTAAAACACCTAAGACCCATTCCTAGGGTCGCCAGCCTTCAGATGGCACCTGGATATCTGTCGCTATTACAAGTGGTCTCCAGATGACCAAGATCAGTTCCCCTGGAGAAAATGGCTGCTTTGGAAGGTGGACACTTTGGCATTATACCCTGCTGAGGCCCCTCCCCTCCCCAAATCCTGCCCTCCCCAGGCTCTGCCCCCCAAATCTCCAGGTATTTCCCAGCCCAAAGCTGGGAGCCCATTCCCGAGTTCACCGATTTTGTCGGGGAAGCAAGAAGGTCTGTCCCAGGGTGGTCATTACTCCACACCTCCAGAAGAGAAGAAGAAGATATTGGATTTATACCCCGCCCTTCACTACCCAAAGGTGTCTCAGAGCGCCTTACAAACTCCTTTCCCTTCCCCTCCCCACAACAGACACCCTGGGAGGTAGGTGGGGCTGAGAGAGCTCTTCACAGAAACTGCTCTTTTTCGAGAACGGCTCTTATCAGAACTATGGCCTGCCCAAGGTCATCCAGCAAGGTGCAAGTGGAGGAGTGGGGAATCAAACCCGGTTCTCCCAGATTAGAGTCTGCGCACTTAACCACGACACCAAACTGGCTTCCAGATACAAGAGTGGTTCCTTCACTCTTACCTGAGCCCATGCTTTATATAGGACTTCACATACCAGAAGGCTTTTTCTTGCTGGTTGCAACAATGTCCGCATGGATGTGGGCGGCTATCACGCCCAGCTTTGTATCCAGAATATATCCCAGGGCAGAATGAGAACCAAAGGCAGCCTTCTTTCTCCATCCCCCTCCCCCCCAGAAACAGGTCCTACTTCAAAATGTGTTAACATCACATTACCACGTTCATATCCCACTCATGTGGAACTTAAGCTGGAAGACAGCATGGTGTAGTGGTTAAGAGCGGCAGTCTCTGCTCTGGAGAACCAAGTTTGATTCCTAACTCTTCCTCCATACAAAGCCTGCTGGGCGACCTTGGGCTAGTCCCAGTTCTCTCAGAACTCTCTCAGATCCACTTGCCTCAAAAGGTCCCTGTAGTGGGGAGAGGAAGCGAAGGCGACTGCAAGCCACTTTGACACTCCTTAAGGTAGAGAAAAGTGGGGTATACAACCCTAATGTTCTTCTTGTAGAGAGATTACAAGGGCCTGCCCGAACATAATATACTCAAGGCTGTTTTGGGATTCCTGCATTCTGTCTGCCTAATTGACACATCTCCTTTCCCTTTGGTATAGTGGTTAAGTGTGCGGACTCTAATCTGGGAGAACCGGGTTTGATTCCCCACTCCTCCACTTGCACCTGCTGATGTGACCTTGGGTCAGTCACAAGCTCTGGCACAGCTGTCCTTGAAAAAAGAGCAGTTTGTGTCAGAGTTCTCTCAGCCCCACCCACCTCACAGGGTGTCTGTTGTGGGGAGGGGAAGGGAAAGGAGTTTGTAAGCCACTTTGAGACACCTTTGGGTAGTGAAGGGCGGGGTATAAATCCAATCTCTTCTTCTCCTTCTTTTACCTCACAGGGTGTCTGTTGTGGGGAGGGGAAGGGAAAGGAGTTTGTAAGCTGCTCTGAGACTCTGAGTAAAGGGCAGGGTATAAATCCAGTCTTCTCCTCCTCCTCCTCCTCCCCTTCTCCTTCTCCTTCTCCTTCTCCTTCTCCTTCTCCTTCTTCTTCTTCTTCTTCTTCTCTTTGCTGGAGTATTTCCGGCAGTGAGGGATAAGCGGCTAGCATCAGCTGGGCTTTTAACGTGGTACAAAGCAGAGGGAGGTTTTCTTCAAGAAGGGTCAGTCAGGCCATGGCTCAGTGGTAGAGCATCCGCTTTGCATGCACAAAGTCTCCAGTTCAGTCCCCAGCCTCTCCCATTCAAAGGATGAAAGACTTTTTTGAGACCCAGGAGAGCCGCTTCCTGTCAGAATAGACAGTAGTGACTTTGATAGGCCCAAGGGTCTGATTCTGTTTAAGGGGGCTACGTGTGTTCAGGGCCGCTGTTCCTGCTAACAGTTTCTCAGGCGACTGGTTGTGAAGCTTCTCTTGAATTTGTGGGCCCTCGCAGCTCGCCCGTCCCCAAAACTGCTTGCCTGCATGCCAGTTCCGAGGACGTCTCTTCACTCCTTGCTAGTAAATCCGGGCCAGATGGCACGCACACCACGATAAACCGAAACTCTTGTCAAGTTTACAGAAAACAAACTTCAGGTTTAAAGAACCGTGTGATCATGACAAGGTCCATTTATTCTATTCTTAGGGGGACTAGGTAAGATCAGAATTTACAGATGCCTAGCAAAGCCACCAAAGTGGTTAAGAGCAGCGGACTCCGATCTGGAGAACCGAGTTTGATTCCCCACTCCTCCACATGAAGCCAGATGGGTGACCTTGGGCCAGTCACAGTTCTCTCTGAGCTCTCTCAGCCCGACCTACCTCACAGGGTGTCTGTTGTGGGGAGAGGAAGAGGAGGTGATTGTAAGCAGTGATGGCCCCAGGTTTTTTCGCCCACTAGGTGAGGATACATTCTGGTGCCCCCCCCCAGTGCGGTACAGGCTGGGGGCAGACGCCGGAGCCTCAGCGGGCGGGCCAAGGGGGTGAGCTACAAATGCATGTGGGGGGGGGGCGGGATCGCTTGAGGGGAGGGGGAGGGGGCCTGTGCCAGGCTGCAAAAGGAGCTCCAAAGAGCTCCAAAGAGACCGCGGGGGCGGCAGAGGGCGAGCGGCACTTTCCCGTCATCCCGGGCTGTCCCCCCCCACCTCCTTCTCTCTCTGTCTGGGGGGCTGCAAAGAGGGGAGTCTTTTGCCGGGGACGGAGCAATAAGACGGCAAGGGAGGCTTCCTGTGCAGGGCGAGGAGGAGACGAGGCCGGCCAGAATGGCGCCCTCGTTGAGCTGTCGCCCTAGGCGACGGTCTAAAATTTAACAACAATGGGCCGGCCCTGATTGTAAGCTGCTTTGAGAGTCCTTAAAGTAGAGAAAAGCAGGGTATAAAAACCTACTCTTCTTCTTCTAGTGAGAAACAATGGTTGGGTATCGAACCCAGCCACAATCTGTGAACCCCTCTTCTTGCTTCCTTTCCGTTGTCTCAGCCCATCGATTACTGGGCTGAGTAGATGACACTGTGACAGCCATGACACCTTGTTTGTAACAGACAGCACTAAGGGTGGAGGAGGTAAAGGAATGTGTGGGGTACCTCTCCAGTGGCAGATGTGCTTCCTCCATAACTTCGAGGCCCAAGCCTTTCCCTTCCCGCCCCAGTTAACTGCACAACTCACAGAATCTGTTCATTGGTCAGGGGAGGCAGTTCATGAGTTTCTGCCGTACTGAGTTCTACTTGGGGTTTAAAAGAAAGAGCGTACGCACGGGACGATCTCTGCTTGCAGTCCGGCCTAGCCACAGCTTGAGAAGTTTCGTGTCCTTGTATACTTAGGGAGTTCCGCACCACTAAGAGGCCTTAAAAGTGTAATACGGCAAGATTAAAAGCTGATGTCTCCGTCCCATCAGATGTAATTTAAAGTTGCTCATAACTGCCCTAGGAAATGGCTGAGAGTATGGGACCAAACGTTTCAAAGTTTATATCCAGCAAATAAAAAGAATACATCATTTTAGAACGTGTCATCTTCTTGTCACCGAGTTCCTTGTGCATTCGGCCTATAATCTCAAGCAAGGAGTGTGATTGCGAGTACACTTGAATACCCCCCCCCCCACGTACGGGGTTATTAGTCATTAAATCTGACAAGGTACGCCAGGCGTTCTACCTTTCTTTGGGTAATTACACAGCCAAGTTTGTGTCTCAGCAATTTTAAAAAAAATAAATCACTAAAATATTCCCAGTTAATGGAAAATTGCTCCAATTTTTCCTTTTGCAGACGGGTCTATAAAAATATTGGGGGAGAACACTGCAAAAATAGCATAAAATTGACTTTTTTATAGCCTAGTGCAAACAGCAGCCATTTTCTTGATAAGAGTCATTTGTGCTAGAAGGCAGTATTTAAAAAAAAGAAAAAGGAAAACTGGATGGCAGATTTGCAACCCATTTCCAAATCTCAGGTGTGTCCACTCGTAATGGGAAAAGTAGCTGGTTCATTCGAAGCCAGGCTCTAAAAGTGTTGCGATGTCACAGATAAAGAAAAGAAAAATAGCATCCGTGTGTACTTTTGCCTTCCTATCTCTATTTTGGATGCACAGCTCCTTGTATTGTTTTGTATTAAAATGTGTATGTGGGCTTTTACCCCTTAAAATTGATAGGTGCTGAAGGGTGGCAGATTTATTTGATGCTCAGAAATAAGCTCTCGTTGTGTTTATATGTACAGTAAACTTCCCACAGTGGATTCTTTTTTTATGGGCAATCTCTTTGTGGCTCGAAAATTGACAACCGCAAACGCGTCGCCTTCCTGATGCCGTTTTGTGTGAATTGAGCTGAACACCTCTGACAGACTAACAGCTAGATTCCTACGCAAGGATACTTAGAAGGAAGCGTCAGTTATGGCTGTAATTCTCTGCGCACTTATATTGGGAGTGAGTCCCACTGAACTCTCTGGGTCCTGTTTCTGAGCAAGCCTCCGTAGGTTTGCACTGTGAGTTTGGGGAGACTCAGTTCCAAGTAAGTACAGTTAGCATATGGCTGTGAATCTGTCGGGTTACATTAATTCGCTTCTTCAGAGTTTTCTGCTTCCATTATACTCAGCTGTACCCTTGTTAGAGAATTAAGGACTTTGGAAAATTCAAGTGCTTAAAATGCCCAAGGCCTTTTCCAGCGAATAATATATGAGTTAACTGAGTCAGAAGCTTTATTGGACCACTTATTTTAACTCTCCCTCTTTCTCAAGACGTGGAGGGCTGCATTGGGCTTGGCAAGATCCCTTCGCTGCACCTGCCTCACAGCGTTCTTGGAAAGCTAAACTACTTCTCCAGGTTCATTGGAGGAGTTTAGAGGTGCGAATGCAACAAATTAAGGAACCAGTTCCTCAATATGACCTCTTACTGGTTTGGTACCAACAGATATTTAGCCCAGGCTGCTTGATATCAAACTTTTGTTTAGTCTACAGCATTAGAAAGGTTCCTGCTAGGGCTGCCAATTCCCCCCGGGGGGCGGGGAACCCCCCGCCCCAGAGGCCCGTTCCCGCCGCTGGTGGATCGGGCCCCGGGGGGGAACCCCACCCCGGCGTGCATGTCACCAGGAAGTGACATTATGATGCCGGGCACACTAGGGGCGGGGCCACGACCATCCGAGGGGAAACTCTATGGTTTCCCCTCGGATGGTCATGGCCCCGCCCCCAGCATGCCCGGCATCATAACGTCACTTCCTGGTGATGTGCATGTGGCGCGCGCATGCGCGCCGGGATCCACCCGGGAGTCCCCCGCTGAGGAGGTAAGTTACACTTGGCAACCCTAGTTCCTGCTCATGAAACTTCTCAAAATGAAAGCTCTTATGCAAGTTTATAAGTTACTGCAGCTGTGTGAGAGCCACTTCTACATGACTTCTCCCCAGACTGCTCCAGGAAAGTTTGGCTACATGATGCACATGGGTGGGGACCAGATAAATAGCTTCTTCCCTTACAAGGGTCACCCAGGATTACCCATCATGTATGAAGGAACTATGTAATTTATCTCACTTGTGTCACTCCTGCATCCAAAAGTTACCAGAGGTGTGGGGCACAATGCCATGTTAAAAGGGGCTCCCGTATGAGGTCTGGATAGGCTGTTGTATCACTGAGCAGAGGTCAATATTGTACATCAGAAAAATCTGGAGACTCATCTAGTTGGTGAAAATGCCTCGTAGAGGTATCCGCTGTTGAGAGCTTTTGCAGGTTACAATGTGGTTTCATTATTTGTTTTCAGTGTCCATTTGTACTACCTATTTCCAAGCTTAGAGGAAGGAGGATTAGCAACATACCGCACTGCCATTGTTCAGAACCAGCATCTTGCCATGCTGGCTAAGGTAGGTACAATTCTTTATATATTAACTCTTTGAATTAGCAAGTAGACATTCTGGCTTTGTGACAAGTTGGTTGCCATTGAGGCTGAACGGTTCATGGTATATTCATTATGGAAAGGCAGCAGGTTTCTCACGGTCAACAGACGTTCTGGGTTTTCTCAGTTATTTAAAGATAAAGCATGTAGAAGAACAAGCCCTACCAAGGAAGAATCAGCACGGCTTCTGCAAAGAGAAGCCATGCCTCATCAACCTTCTGAGCATGTAGTTGAGTGTGATCTTTTAGACATTATGTAACTGGACTTTTAAAAGGCAATGATCGTGCCTCTCTAAAAGCTTCTGAAGAAGTCATGGCATGAGAGGATGGGTTAAATTGTAGAAAACCAGGAAGGAAAAGTAAATGAAGAGTTCTAACAACGGAAGTAAGTAAGCAGTAGGGTCTCCCAGTGGGTTTGTTTATTTGTTTTGCCTTTTTTTGCCATCAAGTTGCAGCCAACTTATGGTGACCCCATAGGGTTTTCAAGGCGAGAGACATTCAGAGGTGGTGTGTAGTATAGCCGTGAGATCCCAAGATTGTCTGGAAGCCTCAAGTTCTTGCCCTTAAGCTTCATGCACCTCTAAAGTGGTGAACTAGACTTATTTTGGGAGCTGAGAGAGCTGTGACTGACCCAAGGTCATCCAGCCGGCTTCATGTGGAGGACTGCGGAATCAAACCTGGTTCTCCAGATTAGAGTCTGTTGCTCTGAACGACTCAACCACACTGGCTCTCCACCCAAGTACTAACCAGGGCTAACTCTGCGTAGCAACCCTAGGACTTCCTTGGTGATCTCCCATTCAAGTACTAACCAGGGCTGACCATACTAAGCCTCTGATGTCTGACAAGATCAGGCTAGCCTAGACTATTCAGGTCAGAGGGTGTCTAAATTTAGGACCGTTTAATCTGTTAATAAATCATCTCAAATTGGGTCTGAGCAGTGAAGCGACCCTGCTTGCAGATCATACCAAATCATTTAGGGTGATAAAGACCAGTGGGTTGCGAGGAGCTTAGGGAGGGTGGGTGAGCAGGTGACAATGCGGCAAATAAGATTCAATGTAAGTTGTGGTTTTTAAAAAAATGGTTTTAAATATACACCAAACTGGGGGTGACTGACCAGGGGGGAAAAAGATACAGGCGTTGTGGTGGATAGTTCAATGAAAATATCAACTCTGTGTGCTGGAGTAGTACGAAAGACAGATTTCGTGCTAGGGGTTATTTAGAAGAGACTGAAAATAAAATGTCTGGTTTCTTGATGCCCTTGTTTAGTTCTGTGTTATGACTGCACTGGGGATGCTCTGTACTGTTCTGGTCACTCTGTCTCAGGAATGGTATCATGGGCCCAAGTTCATGGAATCTATTGCCTGGTGAGAACTGTGGGATTCAGGATCTTCCCTGACTTGAATCCATAGTCTGTCTCCTGCTGGTGGAAGGGCCACTGGTGTGTGTGTGTGTAGGGCAACTTTTGCTTGCTTCTGCCTCCCACTGCAGCCCCCCCACCCCCCAAACCCAGGGACGATGTTTGTGGTGGGGCACAATGGGCTGAAATTGGAGGGGAGAAATAGAAAACTTCCATTCTGCAAGCAAAGATTTGCTCATGGTTGGTGGGTCGTCTCTTTGTTTTTAGGAAGGCCTTGGATGCTTGGATGCGTTGGGATTTTATTCTTCTTAAAATCGTATTGTTGACTGTATTGCTTTATCCTGTTTTATGCAGTTCACTGTGGGAAATTCTGTTGAAAGCCGGTCATAGAATTTTCTACACAAATAATCTACTTGTATCATAGACTAATAACAGTAAATAGTGGGGTTAAAGATAATGTATAAAACCTTGCAGTTTTTATCCAGAGATCTGTTCTAAACTGAGAAGGTTGAAACTGCCATAATATATTTTCAACGATAGCACAACTGCCCTACTGGTGACAGCGATGAATATGTCAAGCGTCAGAGAAAGCTCACGGAAGCTCTCTGTTCAATGGCTACAACTGAAGGCCAGGTTTTGTAAATGAGTACATGGCTCAAATGGAAAAGTACATTTACCATCCTTAAAAAAAAATCTCCTTTTACCAGTTGCCTGTAACAAAAGTGGTCATTTTTCTGCTTTATATGACAGGCAACACTGTTAAATCGGTTCCTATTCCTTCTGTATTTTTGTCAGTCTCATCATACCTTATAGAATTGATTCTTTCACCACCAGTTTGGTGTAGTGGTTAAGAGTGCTGACTCTAATCTGGGAGAACTGGTTTTGATTTCCCATTCCTCCACATGAAGCCAGCCGGGTGACCTTGGGTCAGTCATAAGTTCTCTCAGAGCTGTTCTCTCAAGAGCAGTTCCTTGAAGAGCTCTCTCAGCCCCACCTACCTCACAGGGTGTCTGTTGTGGGGAGGGGAAGGGAAAGAGATTGTAAGCCACTCTGCGACTCCTTTGGGTAGTGAAGGGCGGGGTATAAATCCAATTTCCTCTCCTCATTTCTGCAGTTCTTATCCTATATAATTTTATTCGTGATACAGGCGAGAGTTTTTAATCACCGTTATCTCCATTTTAAGAGATTGTTAAATCTCTGCCTGCCAACCTGTTGGTCAGGGAGAGTTAATGAAAACTTACCAGGCAACCGTGGCTGGGTGGGATCTGAAGGGGGGGGAGTGTACAGCCCCCCCCCCCGAGTACGGATGATTGTTTAATCCAGTTAGATCAGATTTTCCAGTCAGATTTGGGCCCCCATTTCCTTGGCCTGGTTATCAGATCAAATCCCACCTGGATGAGCCAAGTTCGATGTTCTCAGAGCTCTTCGATTCTCTCTTAAGTAGCTCGGTCACGTCTCTGATCCCAGAAGTATGACCTTCTGTGTTCTAGCCCTTAGAGAACCACGAAGTGCTTGGATCTCAGTTCCGGTACTTCCGTAGGGTTGCCTGTTGTGGGTTGGGAAATACCCAGAGATTTTGAAGGTGGGGCCTGAGGAGGGTGGGGTTTGTGGAGGGGGAGGGACCGTGGTGGGGTGTAATGCCATAGAGTCCAGCCTCCAAAGCAGCCATTTTGTCCAGGGGAACTGATCTCGGTCGTCTGGAGATAATGGGACATGGGATATCTCCCAAGTGCCACCCAGACGTTGGCAACCCTATACTTAACAGGAACATCTCTTTAAAGTCTGTGATCAGACTCCCCATCCTGTGTCCACACCCTCCGCAGAGACTGGGTGGAAAATTGATGGAAAATTGGAGAGCAGATTTATTTATTTATTTATCTATTTTATTTCATTCAATTTCTCAACCACCCTTCCCTGCTTACACAGGGCTCAGGGCGGCTTTAAAAGGTAAAGGTAAAGGTTCCCTTGCTCAAAAGCCAGTCGAGTCCGACTCTAGGGTTGCGGTGCTCGTCTCCGTTTCAAAGCCGAAGAGGCAGCGCTGTCCGAAGATGTTTCCGCGGTCATGTGGCCGGCATGACTAAACACCGAGGCGCACGGAACGCTGTTCCCTTCCCACCGAAGTGGTCCCTATATATCTACTTGCAATTTCTTGCTTTCGAACTGCTAGGTTGGCAGGAGCTGGAACTAGAGACGGGAGCTCACTCCGTCATGTGGCACACTCTGGTCTCGGACTGCTGAACTACCGACCTTCCACAGCCTGCAGTTCAGCGTCTTAACCACTTGAGCCACCGCAGCTCCCAGGGCGGCTTACAACAACATAAAATCCAGTACAATTTTAAAACCAGTTAAAACTTCAAAATTCAATATTAAAAGATTCAGCATGAATACTTAAACACTTTAAACAAGATGGCATATCTAACATTCAAATTTTCACGGAGGGGAGGGTAGGGTGCCGGGCAGCAATGCTCCCTCTAAGCTGTGGAGTCTTGTGAGCAAAAATTCTACCTTGTGAGCTACTGGCATTAAAGTTGTGAGCGAGCGATTTGGCTACTGCATCAATGAGTTTGCTACAGTTTGGCGTAGTGGTTAAGGGCGCGGACTCTAATCTGGGAGAACCGGGTTTGATTCCCCACTCCTCCACTTGCACCTGCTGATGTGACCTTGGGTCAGTCACAAGCTCTGGCACAGCTGTCCTTGAAAAAGAGCAGTTTCTGTCAGAGTTCTCTCAGCCCCACCCACCTCACAGGGTGTCTGTTGTGGGGAGGGGAAGGGAGAGGAGTTTGTAAGCCGCTCTGAGACTCCAAGTGAAGGGCAGGGTATAAATCCAGTCTCCTCCTCCTCCTCCTCCTCTTCTTCTTCTTCTTCTTCTGCTGCTGCTGCTGCTGCTGCTTCTTCTTCTGCTTCTTCTGCTTCTGCTTCTTCTTCTGCTTCTTCTGCTTCTTCTTCTGCTTCTGCTTCTTCTGCTTCTCCTTCTTCTCCTTCTGCCATCCTTCCTGAGCTGAGACAAAAATGTGTGAGCCGCAGGCTAAAAAACTGTGAGCTAGCTCACACTAACTCAGCTTAGAGGGAACACTGCCGGGCAGATGTAAGGGAACCGTCGCTGGCCTCAACCGAAGGCCTGGCGGAACATCTCTGCCTTGCGTGCCTTGCAGAACTTTAATAGATCAGGCAGGGCACGGATGTCGTTCAGCAGAGATTTCCACCAGGATGGGGCCAAGACTGAGAAAGCCCTGGCTGAGGCCAGACGGATATCTGTTGCAGTCAGGGTTGCCTGCCCGGAGGAGGAGGAGGAGATTGTATTTATACCCTGCCCTTCACTACCCAAAAGGAGCTGCGGTGGCTCAAGTGGTTAAGACGCTGAACTGCAGGCTGTGGAAG